CATGCTAGGTTTTTTTGCCATGCTTATTGCGTTTTTCGTCTTTTTTATATGGATGGTGAAAATATTTAGGATTTTTTAGAATTTTTTGTTGAGGATGATGGAGATTGGAGAAGAAGAATTGATGATTTATAGTGGAATTTTTAAGGGTAATTTTAATGTGTTATTTATATCATATATGCATGTTATTATTGTGCAGTGGCAGTTTTGTATTTTATGAATTTTGTGCTAATTGCTACTGATTTGTAAGTTATGAAATCTGGATTAATTATTAGTTAATTGGATGCGTGCATGTTTTCTCAGGTTAAATGTGTGTTTAATTTTTAATTATCTGGCGTTAATATTGGTAGCAGCTTCTTTCGTATATAATTTTGATGACAAAGTCAACTTTGAATCTGCATCTAAGAATAAATAAAATAATGATGGAATTTTTGGTGAATTAATTATTATTATTATTATTATTTTTCTATTTCCATTTTCCCTAACATGTGATTTACGTACGAGGAAGAGTTCCACCCGGATTTCTGATGAAATAATCACCAAAAATGCAGCTTCTGGGTTTCGAACCCGGGTAACCCGAGTGGATTAGTGAGCACTAACCACTCGGGCAAAGTAACTTATTACAATATTAATCTTAACTATAAATATATAATTATAAATAATACTATAAAATAATTATAACAATTGAATAACTAATGTTAATAAATTATTAATTGTCAGGTTCGTTATCTTTAATATTAAAAATCTCACCTAATAACAAATACATATATATTTAAAAATCTCCCCTAATAACAAATGCATATATAAATAATTACGATTTAATTTAAAAGAAAGATTGAATTTTGAATTTTTTTTTAGTTTTGAAATTATGAAACATTTCTCATATTAATTATTATTAAATAATTTTAATTAAATAATTAACAAATGCAATATAAGAAACTTTTAAAAAAATATATAGAATCACGGTTCAATACATCAAAACATCTATTATTAATTACTATATCAATATAATCTCCACTATTGAAAAATATAAAGTATTGAATCAATTCAATATATAAACAAATGCGTTGACTTATTACAAATTAACTTATGTTATTAAAATCGATAGTGTGAAAAAATCGATTGAAAAATAAAATAATATGTTTATTTAAAAAAATAAATTATAACTCATTTCAATTAATTTAAATCGATTTACCTCAATTATTGACAAGAACTTATTAATATTATTGAGGATTTTATTATAAGATAATTATTTAAAAATATAAATGATGTTTGTTTTAACAAAAATAGATTATATCTCATTTCAATTAATATTCTTACTTTAAAAATAACATTATATATGACTAGTATAATCAAAATATTATAATGTGATTTCTCTTTAAATAATTGGTTTAGTTTGTAAAAATCGTAAGAATTAAATCGTAGATCATATGATTTAATCTTTTTTTTTACATTTACATTTTATTCAAATATTAGAATCGAATCGAATCGTAAGATTTAAATGGATTAATCTAAAGTCCTTTTAATTTTGATATTATATTTGTTAATAATGTAATTAAAATTATTTAATAATTATGAATATGATAATTAACAATCCATTTAACATTATTTATTAAATCATTTTATACTGTGTTTATATGGTATATTTATATTTCTTGCAAGTAATTTACCAAATATTTATCTTGTCACAGTGGTTCGGATTCCTTTTCAAGTGCCTTACAACCCAGGTTCGAACACCATTTGAAGCATATTTTGGAAAAAGTTTCAAAATCCGGTTCGGACCCGGCCCGCCCCGGACCCGGACCCGCCTCCCCGCGGGTCGGTTTCGGGTCCTCCAAAACTCGGACCCGGACCCGGCGGGTCCGACCCGGACCCGGACCCGACCCGACCCGGGGCCGTGTCTACCGAATACTATATTTAGACATGTAAATAACTAATGCAATCCGTAAGAATGGAGGTAAAGGAAAACATACGATTCGAATAAAATTAAAATTCGGTCTAATTCTCATTAAATTACACATTGAAACAAGAAACAAAAAACCCTAGTGTACATGTGATGCGTGTGTCACTTGAAGTTTAAGTATTCGTTCGTTCATTTGTATACAAAAACCAATGTCGAGAACACATAATTTCAAGATTTAGCAGGTTGTGGGAAAAAAATCGAAATCCTTAACAGCGAAAAAATAATAATTTTATTATTATGAACTCCATGATACCACCATCACCAACCTGAATGTGAAGAGTCGAATAATTTATTTATTTTTATTTTGAAGAAGTTAAGGTTGTCTGAAGCGAGAGGTCCTTGAGTTGCTGTGGGTCCACATCGGAGGGGGAACGAGTAAGGGCACATTGGGCAGTAGTTGTTTTCGGGAAAGCTATAACATCTCTGATTGAATTAGCCCCGGCCAATAGCATCGTTAATCGATCCAACCCGTAAGCAATTCCTCCTGTACAAGATTAATTATACAAATCCATCATTTTCAATTTTTCATTTTATAAATTATTACCATCATTTTCAAATTTTCATTTTGATAAATCATTACCATGCGGAGGTGCACCCATGTCGAGAGCCTCCAAAAGATACCCAAACTTTGCCTCGGCCTGTTTGATAAAATATCATAATGTAATCATAATTCATATAACTAATTCACTCAAGATTTTATGATGTTGAAATTGTTGAAGCTTGATTGATAGCGCAAAAGCTTGTATGATGAGAAAACAGGAAAATTTTCTATAGGGATCTTCGATTCTATAAGTTTTTGGATACGAGCATAAATAAGATTACCTGTTCAGAAGAAATGCCAACTATTTTCAAAACCTTCTCTTGGACTTCCCGTTTGTAAATTCTCAAGCTTCCTCCACCAATCTAACAAATAGACGGTAAGTTACTTATTTAAGTACTTCCTTCACTATTCAAAGTTCGAACCGCTACCGAAGCAAAATTTAAGTTTATGTTACCTCAACGCCATTGTAAACCATGTCATAAGCTAATGCACGGGCAGAGGCAAGGTCGTTCATATCCTCGGGGTGAGGGGCAGTAAAAGGGTGGTGCAAGGCCTACAAAAATCGGAACAATATCAATTACCATATAACGCCTACAGGATTTATTGCTCAAAATTTCATGTAAGAAAAAGAATTAGGGAAACGCAATTGAAAAGTCCTAACAAAATTTAAAAAAACTGCGATTATATATATGAAGATCATACAAACCTCAAACCTTTCCTCAGAATCATTCCACTCGAACATTGGAAAATCAGTAACCCATAGGATCGAGTTCCTTGACTGACAAACACGAAGAGACAAGAAAAGTGATAATTAATAAACTCTTTTGCGCACTTACATTATTGTGAGATTAAAAAAAGATTCCAGGTCAAAGAACGTACAGGATCGATCAAGCCCAATTCAAGTGCCACGTGTAATCTCAGCCTGTCTAAAACTTTATTAACAGATGCTTCGTTACCCACTGCAAACAATATTAGATCACCGGAACTAGCCGATAATAATTTCAGAAAATGATTTTGCTCGTTTCTGTCTAAACTTGATACTAGTGCAGGAATCCCTTCAAGAGTGCCTATAATAGTACATTACAATGGATCAAGAGAGAGAACTTTTACACCAAAAAGTAACGCGAATACGATGTGTAAGAGTTTTTGTTACCATCATTCGAGACCTTTAAGAAAGGCAAACCCTTCGCTCCAGATTTGATGGCTTCATTGTAAATATCACCCTTTTTAAGAGCACTATTTGAGTAGTGCTGAGATCCTGAAGGAACACATAGTGCTTTAATAATACCACCACTTGACAAGGTGTCTGTAAATACCTTGAAGGACGAATTTCTGAAAACATCCGATACCTGCAGTTGAACACAATTCCATCAAAAACCAGACAAAAGCCAACTGATTCCGATAAAAGTAAAGATCTATTTAATAAGACGCGTATTGATTTTCTTGCCAACAATCAAAATGACAAAGAAAGTGTGGGACATATCAATAACGAGTTTACATCTTTTAGTTCAAGATCAAAACGCGTATCTGGTCTGTCTGAACCATATCTGCTCATAGCTTCAGCATATGTTAGTCTTGGAAAAGGGTTTGGTAGTTCAACTCCTTTGATCTCAAGAAAAACCTGCAACAATTTTATTTGGTCATGTTGGAATTCATATAATCGGAGAAAACTATCTGGATGCATATCAACAACTGCAGTATATAACTAAAATTTCCAAATAATGAAAAACACACAAGTATCCACAGGCCAAAAGGAATGCCAGCACTCACCACATGAAACACATGAGAGAGATACAACCATGAAAACTCGTGTGGGAAAGAACAAACTACTGGATTTGTGTTGCCAGATTCTGTAAACAAACTACTCTCAAGGCTAACAACTAACAACTGATTGTTTTTGTGTTACATAATTGAAGCTCTAAAAGATCCAATAGAAAATAATCAAAGACAATATTACAAGATTGTTCAAGACCTCGTGCACATGCCTTTGCTAGAGTAACTATCACATTAATCGCAGATGGAACATCTGATTTACAGCACAAGTACACAAAAAAAAAAAAAAAAAAAAAAAAAACACCGGTGAGTACCAATCCGACTAACCTTTCTAATCAAATCTTCATTGAGCTTCAGCATGTCCTCAAGAGGAGTGAATGCCAATTCCATGTCCAGCTGTGTAAATTCGGGCTGTCTATCCGCTCTTAGATCTTCATCTCTGAAACATCTGCACAGCAAGAAAGAAAAATGAATCTGCATCATATGAACTTCATGGTTTTGACAATTTGGAAAGCTAAACCAATGTTATAACTTTTAACAATTGAACCAAATCGGAAACCGCCAACTGTGAACTAGAATGGAGATTTTACTGCTGGAGAATACTATCACAATAAAAGTATAAAAGGTGAATTACCTTGCTATTTGATAGTATTTGTCAAAGCCTGAGACCATAAGCATCTGCTTGAAGAGCTGTGGACTTTGAGGCAAAGCATAAAATGCCCCAGGCTCCATAGAGAAGAGTCAAGCATTAGATCTTCACTCCATGAAGAAAATCAGTCAATAAATAGATCAATGTGAAGGAAAAAGTATGTTCATTGTCGTGGTACTCAACCATTGTTTAATATTAACCTCGGGATGTGCTAACAGTACCCAAAGAAGGTGATAACTTTCCTAGAGAAACAAACTGATAAAACAACCATTTATCACAGAGTTAAGAGAGAAACCTTTATTTCCTAAGCAAGCAAATAAAAGAATAAAGCAACAAATAAACGTAATGACATGCGAAAAATTGTTTAAGATGTCATAATAACAACAAATATGGAAGACTTCCAATAGGCAAAGAACTCTCTGAAGCACGCATAAGAGTCTAATGCCAGCGAGGCTAACATAGGCTGTAACAGGGTAACATTAACCATTGTTGAAATGCTAAAATTGAAGTAATGTCTTGCGAAGTTTTAATAATTTCGTCAGCTATATTAATCAAAAGTGAGGTAGAAATAGCAAATCATTAATGAGTATCTCTGGCAGTTCACAGTCTCACTAAAGCCAATAAAAGATACCTGAATTCTTGATGGCACCAAATAATCCCTTGCACCTTCTGGAGTAGATCTAGATAGAATTGGAGTCTCAATCTACCTTATAACCATTACAAAGTCAGGATCAACAGAAGGAATAATATTAAATATAGAAGCAAGCTTCAATATTTGCATTTTCTTTGGTTTATCAAGCTTATTTTTAGCATTCATCATATCATCTAAATAAACGAAAAACAAAGTTAATACCTCCACAAAATCATGAAGGTCTTCAAGGTATCGTCGAATGAGTTTCACCACTTTATGCCGCAACATTATATTGGAACTCATCTGAGGACGCCGTAAGTCAAGGCATCGATATCTGATATGTAAAAAACAATTCTTTGTTCGATTAATTTTTTTGGGCAAAACAGCAGCAGTAGTTTTTGCGGTTTCACCTAAAAATAATTGTTTCTTTCTTACAAAGGACCAATAAATAAGAGCATAAGTGGTCAATAAAAGCACGAAACAAATGGATTGTTTTCAGAACTATGTCTATATTTTTTTACTGATCCAACTAACGCATTCTGGGAATAGATATATAACCACTAAGTACAAACTTTTAGAAGTTAGTTGTAGACACTTCACATCTCAAACTTCATAATTTAATATTTCCATGAAAAAAGCAAGTGAAAAAAGCTGCGCATTGCCACAAATTTTAGCAGTCTAAAATCACTTTCAAGCAAAGATAAAATGAAGCGACAAGTACCTCAATCTGATTTCTTCTTTGGTTGCATCTTTAGCATCATCTGAAGTAGTAATCAGAAAAGGCAACTTAGACCTCACTGCATTCAAAACGTGGACATGCTCCGCCGCGACCTGTATCCATTAACGGGGCATGAAATGATTAAGAGAACTCAGAACATTCACTTAAAACTCTTTAAAGTACGACGATTAGTTAATGAACATATCATAGTATTCCCTTCATTTGTGCACACAGAAAATCACGGAAACATCCCATCATCTATAATCGTTTATCCAACTCTACTACGTAATACAGTCTCTTCCCTAATGTGGTGAAGAAAAAATGTAAGATGATGATGAATAATATATGTTTCACTTATCAGATGAAACAAAATTACTTGATCACAAAAAACACATTCAACTGTTCAATTAGTAATTTATTCACTCAGTTTCATTGAAAGCTCACCTCTACGAATCCGGTCTTCATTTTCTTATTAATCGACTCAATCGGCCGTGACCGAACGACACCTTCCACTGCGACTACATACTCAAGCCTCAAGCCATTCACGACCGAATGTGCCTCAGGAAAATCATCCGGAAGCGTAGTAACCTGAACAATTCCGGTATGGTCGCGGAGACTAAGGAACGTCAGACCGCCGTGGACGCGGTGGAGGGCCACCCATCCGCAGAGGCGTACTCGTTTGCCGACGTCCGGTTCCGACAATTCGCCGCAAAGAGCGGTTCGATTCACCCACTCAAGTTCGTCGGCATTGGTTTCGGCAGAAGGAGGGAATGGCTGCTTGGGAGTGGGGACGCTGAGGGTTTCAGAAGGGGAAGCGGAAGCGTAAATGGAGTAGAAGGCGCGTTTGTGGAGGAGTTTAGGTGGATTCGAATTAAGGCGGCGGAAGGTGAGGAGGAGGAGAGGAAGACGCGGCGGAATTGAAAATTTGGCGCGGAGGGCAACCGCCGGAAGGGAGCGGAGAAGGAGTGACATGGCGGAGGAGAGAAATTCACAGGCTTATCTGATTTAGGCGGATGTAATTTGGGGGAGAGGGTTTAAGGATTTTGGAAGATTTGACCCGTTTGTAATCTGGAGGGTCCGATAATGGTTTAATTTCACTTTGCATCACTGAAATGCACCATTTTAGCACTTTGCACCCCGAAAACTAATAAATCGCATTTTGCACCCTCAAAACAGGTCTTTGAGATGCCACACCTGGTGAAATACACCGGGTAATTATTAACCGTTGATATAGTGAAATAACTTCTCAATAAGCACATATACACATGTGTGTGTGTGTGTGGTTTTGTGCTGATCAACTTTTAATAATCATCCAATGGGGATAATTACAGTTTTGGTCCCCCAAATTTGCACGGTTTTCACTTTTGGTCCCTCATTTACCGCCGTCAACAAAATACACACTAATGTTTTCATATTTTAACACATTTAGTCCCTTCGTCTGTTTGACCGTTAAGTAGTAACGGTCAATGGTTGAATTTGAGGTTTTTCTTTGAGAAAATTGCAATAAAACCCCTGTATTATTTCCAAATATTTTAAAAACCTGTAAAATTTTATACAACCATAATTTAACCCCTATTTCATCAATTACCTAATTTTAACCAATGACCCCGATTTTTCAAAATTTGGTAATCCGACGTTGACTATCTTTTTAATTCGGTTGACTCTTTTGCCGATTGATCTTTTTTTCCCGTTGTTGACCAATGCTGAATGTTGGCTTAAAATTGTTGACATTTTCTTTTCTTGATTATTATTTTATTTTTATTTAAATTATTGTGTAATGAAAAAATATAATTAAAAAAATAAAAGCAGATAATCGGCGAGAAAATAATATCATAAAAAAATCAAAATAAATAAAAAAGGAAAAAGTCAGCGCATCACAATGACGGAAAAAATTTAAGATAAAAATTAACGGCCGGTGTTAGCCCAAAAAACCGTGTACTAGAGTGGTTATCTCATTTCAGATTACTCCGCACATGCCTAATTCATCTTCTGCATATTTTCTTGGGAATAAATTTGGGATGCACTCGCGGTTCCACGAAGAAAAAATTGAGGGGAAGAAATTATGGATTTTAGAATTTTTTTTAAATTGTATTTAGGCCCTAGAATTTTAGATAAAAACTTTGTTAAAAGTTTGTAATTTCAATATTACATACTAGATATTAATGTAGTATTATTATTGTGTTATACATTAATTGTGTTGATCGGAAAAAAGGTCAAAGAAAAAAGTTCGTTAAAAATCAAGAAAAAAAAATCAAGATTGTTAACCGAGAATACAATGTCAGTGAACGGCATCAAAATCAATATTAAATAAAAAATTCAATGCAGGAAAAAAAAAGTAAAAAAAAAAAAAAAAAAAAATCAACGGCGGTCAACTGTCACTGGTAATGGTGGTAAAAATCGGGGTCGTTTGCCAAAATTAATTAAATGATGAAATTGGAGTTAAATTAGAGTTGAATAAAATTTTAGGGGGTTTTAGAATATTTTAAAAGAATGCAGGGGTCTGGGTGCAGTTTTTATCTATAAAAAAATCCCAAATTCAGCCATAATTCAACCGTTGACCGTTACTACTTAACGGTCAAACAGACGGAGGGACTAAATGTGTTTAAATGTGACAACATTAGTGTGTATTTTGTTGACGGCGGTAAATGAGGGACCAAAAGTGAAAAACGTACAAATTTGGGGGACCAAAACTGTAATTATCCCTCATCCAATGTATTTCATCGGGTGTAGCATCAAACCCACCCACAAAACATGTTAAATCATTCAAAGTGCAACCTAATATATTTCAAAGTGCTGATCAATTATTCTTATTGTTTGATCATTAACATGGTCATTTTTTCTATTCAATTGATTTTCTCTTCAGGGCGCAAAGTGCTAATATACTTTCGAGCGAAAATGACTATGTTGACAATAAGAAAAATAGGTCAACAATGAAAATTCATGACAGAAAATAAGGGTACAATTTGAACAATTAAACATGTTTCGAGACAAAATGGCAAATGCCATAAATTATTTTCGAGGGTACAAAGTGCAAAATGATACATTTCAAAGGCGCAAGGTGAAATTAAGTTGTCTGATAATTGCGTTCGGATCATTGAAGGTTGACTTTCAAAATGTATTTCACTCCCTACAAATTTCTCATTTTCGCATTTTCCCCCTAAAAACTCAAAAATTAGATAATCCACCTTCTAAATATTTTTTTGGTTGTACTTTACCTGATAAGCCATTTTTTGTGGACATTGTGCAAAAAAATGACATTGTAATGTGAAAAAAATAATGTTTTTAATGGATAACGTGCAACAAAAATAACATATAAAAGAGCTACGTGCAACAAAAATTAACATATAAAAGAACTACGTGCAACAAAAATACTCAATTACGATGAATAATCCATCAAAAAATTTATATTGGGATGTGCAACAAGAATAACATTTTGAAGGTGACATTCACTTGTAAAACTTTGATGAGGTAAAGTGCCAAAAATAGAATATTTTAGGGGTGATGTGGAATTTGCCCTTAATAATTAAATGTTTCTACTTTCTAGTATAATAAAAATGGATTTATTGCATTTAACGCCCCTAGTTTTACAATAATTATTAAAAGCACCCGTATTATAGATATTAGCCACAGCACCCCTATATTTCAGATTGAATTTTGTTGTGGCATTAGCTATTTGGATATTCCCTTCGAAATTTTGGTTGAATCATGTGTAAGATCATAAAAAGCTACATTAAGCACCATAAAAAACTAGCACATATAAAGAAGTCAATTCAATCTAAATTCGATTGACAAATAAAAAAAACGGAAGTATTTATCGGGAAAAAAAAAAAAGAAAAAAAAAATTGACACTTCGACAAATGAAAATATACGGCTTCTAGTTTAAGACACCGAATGAAAAGGCTTGAAAAGTCTAAGCGATTTTACGAGCCCGTGAATAGAACCGGCAGCTGCAAGAAGTGATATAACGAGGCAAATACCGTTAAGAATCTCCATCCAAATCCACGTGAAAGAGAATCTTGGAATCTTTCTTCTTGCAATGTACATCTCTATCGGGAAATAAACGGTCAACGGCCAAAACGTAATAGCTCCAAGAAATCCGACAAAATCATTGAAGAATGGAAATAACATAGCTAAAGCCGTTGTGAATATCACGTAACACGTTCGCCAAACGAGCCTCAAAAAATTCACTTTGAAGCCCCAGATGGAATATTCCTCCGTTATAAATTTATTTTCCGGCCATTTTCCTTTGCTCCAATCCTCCACGAACCCGAATATCGGTTGGCAAAATACCTATAATTAAAAAAAAAATTAAAAAAAAAATCTGATTTATTATTGCCTACCTCAATAATAATCATTATAATAGGAAGAAGAAAATTAATTATTTACCTGGTAAGCTCCGACGAGATGAATTACGATACATAAATTAGCAAAACTGACGAGCCAAAAAGGCTCATAGAAGCCGAACCCGGTTAGGAAATTTCCAGGGGCATCATTGCCAAATGCAGCATACCCTAAAACCCCACATAACATGTAGAAAACGGTGGAAATCGAAATTCCCGCCAAAGTAGCCTTCTTCATTACTTTATTCTCCGGTACCCCTGATTTTATCGTGTCCTGAAAAAAAATATATATATACATCCTTAAAATTAGTCGCTTTTTTTTCGCAATTCATATTATTTATCGGAATATAGTATACCATAACAAAAGGACGACAGGGGCCATCGCCCCCACCCACACGACTTACTAAAAAAAATTAATATAGTAAATTTATCCTACTGAATATAAAATTCTGGCTTCGCCAGTGACAGATCAGTTTCATTCGAGTCGAACCTGTATCTCAACGAGGACACTAGAGAAAACATAAGCAAAGGCAATGTTTCCAAGGGCGTTATAGGTATTCCACATCTTGTCCATACTCGACATGTTAGGCCCGATCGGTATTCCGGTAAGGCTACTCTCTATTTTCCCTCCCGTACCTATAAATATATATCAACCAACCAACAAAAACATTATTTCTTTAATTACTTATTTAATTCGGATATAAATACATTAATTTGCTAATTACCCGCAATCTTGGCTATGGCGAGACCAAGCCCGATCGAGGAGTACGCGAACGACATCGCGGCAGCAACGAACGAAAGCCAAGAAAGCTTATGAAAGTTCGGTATCTGGCTAATGATTATTTGCATGGCTCCGAAACCTATAATGTAGGGATTGTTCGACATGTGACAACCGGCTTCGTGCCCGTGTTTGTGGAAGCAATTCGATCTTATCATGGCCCTGTTCGATTTATTTTATTTTTATTAAAATTTACAAATATTCTTTTTTGTTACATATATATATATATATATATATATATATATATATAGACACACACACACACACACACATGTATACTTACACCATGCTAATTGAGGCTGTGATTGAGTAACCTATAGAAGAACCAACAAGGTTGCTTGATTGAGCTATCCCACATAGTTGTACTTTTAATCCTCCTGCACATTGTGTAATAAAAAAAATTAAAAAATTGAAAAAAATAAATAAAAAAATAATTATATATATTATGTATTTTGAAAATAAATAATTGTATATATTATTTATTTTGAAAATAAATAAAATAAAATAAATGTGACAATATTTCAAATGGCAATTATAATCAAGGCCCTCGAGATAAGGTCTGTTTACAGAAACCCCCCTCCATTTTTTATAATTACATCCACCCCATACAATTTGTAGATTTGTTACATTAACACCCTTATGTAGGGGGGTGGGTGTAAGAAATTTACAAATTGTAGGGTGGAGGATGTAATTGATAAAACATGAGGGAGGTTTTCGTAAATAGTTTTGACCTCAGGGAGGTGGTTGTAATTTACTCTAAAAGAAAATTATGTATTTTTATTTTTGTACCAAGGTGAGATCTGACAACATCTTTGTAAGTGTAATTTCTAGAGCCATCATTGGATCGGTAGCAATCAGCCAATAGGATTGAAGTAAACCATGTAATAAAAGAAAATGCCATTAGGGCGATGGGGCCCGCAATCCAGCCCAATTGAGCGATGGCCCATGCTAAGGATAACACACCCGATCCGATAACGGCCGTTATTATATGTGCACTTGCCGTCAACGCCGTACCTGGTTTTTTAATAACGGAAAACATAAAAAAGAACGTCACCGTTTGATATATAAAAAAAAATTTGAAAAAATCATAGAGGCATATAATTCTAATTTTTATAGTTAATTGATTGTTGTATCTTTGATTTATTATATTGAGATTGGTTTCAATTATCATTTTAAATTGTGGCTTTAGACTTTTATCTGACATAAACTCGTATCCGCGCAGCTAGCAAAATTTGTCATGTACTTATTTCGGATTTGATTTTATTAATCCTGCTCCCATGTAAAACCCGAGGGTTACCCGGTAAATACGGGAGATGGAGAATACGGACAAGTTAGTTCTTCAATTGTAGCTTTTTGAAAAGACGATGAACTTTTAACTAACAAAATTATGATTGTAGTGACGGAAAATTAAAAGAAACCGTCTCTAACTCAAATAATAATAGATCTCAAACGCTATATTCAAATTGCTAAGTTATATTAAAATATGCTATAAAAATTATGTAAACTCCATGTACAAGAAACCCTAAAAAGAAAGAGAAATTTTTTTTACAAAAAAACTAAATTATTTGAAACCCTAAAAATAATTACATTATATCTCAAAATTTATGTACAAGAACCCTAAAAATAATCAAAACACATATTATAATAAAATAAAATAGAGAGAGGATATTTACCGGTCCTTTTTACTCGGCCATCGTCGTCAAACTTGGAAGAAGATTCATTGCCTGAGTCAATGCTCAAAGAGATTTGCCCCATTCGTGTAAAAAATTAAAGTGTTAGTAAAAATTGAGAGAATTAAAATAAAATTATAAGATCATTAGTTTACATACAGAAGTTCTAATAGATATAAGAGAAGATGTATGTATATGTATATATATAATCTTGAATACTTATCTGGTTCTGTGTATCAAAATAATAGGATTCTGTATATCAAAATAATAGGATTCTGTGCGTTCACACTTATAACTTGTACTAATTCGGTTTATTAGTCATAAATAAATTAATTAATTAGTCAAGATAAATATAAAGAGGTTTCATTAATCTGCCTTAATATATGCTAATTAATTAATATAGGAAAATCATTAAAATGCTAGTATTTATTATTATGCATTAATTTCATAATTACCACCTCGGATTTTGGTGAGTTTGAATATTGGGTTCCTTAATTTCATCTTTTATTTTTTTTGAGACTTGCATAACTATTAAATGTTTTAGAGATTCTTGTATGAACAACCACTTTCATTTACTTGCAACGTAACGAAAATTTCGTGGGTCGAAACGGGTATTTTTTTTCAAGCAAATGTTTAAATGGTTCGGGATTCGAGTTTTCTGACGAGCTCGAGCTGAAGTACGAGCCCCCCATTTTGAGTTTTTCATGCAGATATTTTTGAATTTTATTCATTTATATATTCATTCTATATATTATAATAAATACATATAAAACTTAAAAAAATACATTTGAATTCGGGTTGTTGCGCGCATATTAAGAAAATTAATAAATGTGCATATAATATAGTAAAAAAAAAATCTCTAAAATATCCTTGACACTAATTGTTTTGACAAGTAATTAATTAGGAGTGATAAAGGATAAAATTGAAAATCTAAATGACAAATAATTTTGGCAATACAAAATCTCTAAAAAGACAAAATAATATGGGACAAATGGAGTATAATATAAACAATTAATAATAATATTGATATAAACAAAAAGTAAGAAAAGAAAACAACAATTGAAAAATGATCTTGAGCTCGATCGAGCCGTCAAATTTGTCAGGCTCGGCTCGAACTCGACTTTTTTACGTATGTATATATGCTTAATGTTCGATAGTATTTTAATTTAATTGTGGAAATAGTTTGTTTGTTGTTTTTAATTTTTAAGCTCGTTGATTAAGAAAATTATTAAATAGCCTTATCAATTGACAAAAATGCTCAATTACCTTTTATATAAGATAATGGTAGCATCAATTAACACGATACTCATCTCCCTAATCTCATGCAAATCAATTTTGTCTATCAAGAAATTAACTACAAGAGGTAACTTAATAAATAATAAATTAATAATTAAGACTAAACCCACAAATAATATATAATTTCTTTTCCTAAAGAGACAAATAAAATGAATTTCAAACTTTGGTTACTTTCATTGGAAGATTTGATTTGAAGTAGAAATTTAAAAAAATAATGGAGCATTTAAATTAAAGAGGCAATTACTAATTAAGTTTATTACGAAAAAATCGAGAAAAAAACTCGAAATGTTTATTACAACTTCATAATAAGTATAATTACGACACCGAATGGAAGGGCTTAAACATTCCGAGTGATTTCACGAGTCCCTCGATCGAACCGGCAGCTGCAAGAAGTGAAACGACAAGACAAATGCCGCTAAGCGATCGCATCCAAATCCACTTGAAAGAGAATCTTGGAATCTTTGATCTCGCCAAGTAGATTTCGATCGGGAAATAAACGGTCAACGGCCAAAACGTGATAGCTCCAATAAGTCCGACAAAATCATTGAAGAACGGAAATAGCATAGCTAACGTTGTCGTGAATATCACGTAACTTGTTCTCCAAGTCAGCCTGAACAAACTCAATTTGAAAATAGAATATTCCCCCGTTAGAAATTTGTTTTTCGGCCGTTTTTCTTTGATCCAATCCTCCACAACCCCGAATATCGGCTGGCTTAACACCTGCACGAACGAATTAACCTAGTTAGTATATTAATATCGAAAAATCTTTTTTTTAATTAATGTTGAAAAAAAATAGTTTAATTTATTTAATTACCTGGTAAGCTCCAATGAGATGAATTACGATGAATAAATTAGCTAAACCGACTAGCCAAAAAGGCTCGTAGAAGCCGAAACCGGTAAGCATATTCCCAGGGGCATTATTGCCAAAAGCGGCGTATCCTAAAATCCCACATAGCATGTAGAAAACGGTGGAGACCGATATTCCAGCCAACGTAGCCTTCTTCATTACTTTGCTTTCCGATTCCGCCCCTGATTTTATTGTGTCCTGAAAATTAATTAATCGAGTAATTACTACACTAGTAGTTTCACGAATTAATTAATTAATCAATCGAGTAATTAACGATCACCTGTATCTCAACAAGGACATCGGAGAAGCATAAAATAACTCGACTGCACC